GTTTTGAAATACGTCCACGCTAACAACGAATATGGAGAAGGGACGCTTCTGAGTCGTACGAACTTCGGTTCTGTATTCCCATTCTTGTACTTTGACCTCACAAAGCAGAAAATGGACATCAAAGACGGAACAACGAAATTAGCCTTCAAATATGAGCTTTCAGGAGCAACTGCTGCACAGTATTCTATTTATGCGGTTACCTTGCATGAACAAGACGTTGAACTTGTGCAGAAGAATGGCAAGCTATTGTTTAGATCTTAAATATATTCAACTGATACCTGGCATGTTTAAACAAAGATACCGAAAATTATTAATTAAACATGTTAGATAAAACCTGAATTTTATCTAACATATAATATATACAAGATATGACAACCTATTATCCTCATGGAGTCAGTCTATCAGAAGGACAGAGATTGCGACTTGCGAAAGCGTATCAAAATAATTCTGCAATCACAATTAGATTATCAAGAAACGAATTGAATGGATCTGATGAATTGATGCTTACAAAAACTCAGATTAATAAAATCGCGAAATCACAAAGGAATGGAACCGGAGTTGATATCAAGATATCAAAGACACAGATTAGAAAAGCGGTTAAACATGGTGGGAGTCTTTGGTCATCGCTATTCTCACTTGGAACGAAATTATTACCATATGCCACAAAGGCGGTTCCAGCTCTTGCTACTGGTGCGATGAGTGCTCTTGGTAGTTTGGGGATTGACAAGATTTTTGGAAAGGGACAAACGGGTGGTTTTCTCATTCCACAGAATAAGATCAACCAACTCATCCAGTATAAGCATCTACTAACAGTATCACAGAAAAAGAAGATTTTAGATGCTCTTCAAACTGGCGGTCAGTTAGTTATTAAACCTTCTAAAACACAGCATGGAGGGTTTTTCGGCACTCTTCTTGCATCTATCGGGATCCCTCTGCTGGTAAAAGCTTTAACCGGAAACGGATTGCAGGTTGATAGTAATCGTTCAAGAAGATCGTTACCCGTTTATGTGCCTCCGCCTCCTCCCCCCAAAATCAAAAGGTGGCTTGATTAATCCATATGCGCGACCTCCCCCGTTTTATGGAACATGGGAAAATCCTAGGGGATGGGGATTAAAAAAAAAGCTCCAAAAAAGGGTAAAAAAAGGTAAAAAAGGGGAAAGGGCTTCTTCTAGGCAAAAACAGCCCATTCAACGGAATCCCATTGCTCGGAGCACTCCTTTAAAATTCATAAACAAGCATTATCAAACATTGATTTAATACACTGGTTGAAACAACTCAAGATCAAACATTTCAGGAATATTTACAGTCGTGATAATTTACAAACAGCATAAAGAAAGAATGTGGGATTATCAATTTGGATTCACAAATAGGGCCAGGCACTCACTGGGTTTGTTATAGGAATATTGATAATTATTGTGAATACTTTGACCCATTTGGTTTAACCATGCCACATGAGGTTAAAACGTATTTATCAACAAGCAAAAAACACCTCATATTTTCGGGGGATGAAATACAGGAAAGAGATTCCATTCTATGTGGATATTGGTGTTTATACTATCTAAATGAACGTCAAAGAGGCGTATCATTATTGGAAACCATACATAATTCAAATTTTGATCCAAAAGATCACGGTGTCAATCATAGATTTATCATCAACTATTTCACAAATATTATGTAACTAATATTATATATAATGGTGAGAAGTTATTGTGTTAAACAGAAGAAACAAACAGAGTGTGTGCAACCATCTGGATATACAACGGCTAAGAATGGTAGATTGATGTTTTTCTGCACCTGTGCTGAGTGTGGTATCAAGAAGACTAAGTTCGTTAAACAGCCAAAAAACTAGTTATGCCCTCACAAGATGGGGGCGATTTGGCGTCGGAGCTCTTCAAAGGAGCTCTGAAAATGGGATCTTTAGTTGGACGCCAAGCTTTGAGCCGAGCTGTAAAATCTGATTTTGTAAAATCTAAGATCAAAAAGGTTGGGCATAACTATTTGGATCAAGCTTTGGATTCGTTCACGAGCGATATTTCAAAGAAAATATCACCGATTGGTAAAGGAATAGCATATGATATGAGCATGTATACCAATACAAGTGATCCTACTAATCCTCTTTATGATAGAAGCCAATATGGTCAAGGGGTTGATATTCATAAATTGATTGGTAAACTTCCACGCCCAAAAGGAGGCTGGACACCAGGTTCATACAAATATATGGGACCGTATAACCCCCTTGCTGATCAATTATCATATGATAAAGATACAGGGGAGGTTATTGAATGGCATGTTCAACCTAAAAATAAACTAGATAAAATATCAGCATATCACGATATTTGCTACGATCGTGGTCGAGATAAGGGAGATTGTGATAAAAAAATGGTAAAAGCGATTGATCAGATACCATGGAAAGATAAACCTTGGGGTTCAACAGCTGTTCGTAATTTAATAAATACTAAACAGAAATTAGGTCTTGGTGTTAAACAAAAGAAGCCAAAAAACGGAAAACGGCGTTGAGTAATAATGATTGGGCTCAACAATTAGCCGATGAACTTCATAAACCAATCAAAAGGCATTTCAAAACAAGAAGAGTTATTGTAAATGGAATAGATGAGATATGGGCTGCAGATCTGGTTGAAATGCAGCAATTCAACAAATGGAATAAAGGGGTTAAATATTTGTTGACTGTAATTGATGTTTTCTCAAAGTATGGATGGATTGAACCATTAAAAAATAAAAAAGGCGAGACAGTTACTGAAGCATTTAAAACGATATTCAAAGAAGGTAGAAAGCCAAAGTTTTTATGGGCAGATAAAGGTTCTGAGTTTTATAACAAACATATGAAATCATTACTTGATAAACACAACATTACACTGTATTCAACAGAAAATGAAGAAAAGTCATCAGTTGTTGAAAGATGGAATCGTACAATGAAAAACAAGATGTGGAAACAGTTTACAGCTAAAAATACAACACAATATTTAGATATGTTACCTCAGTTGGTAAAAGAATATAATAGTACAAAGCATTCAAGCATTAAAATGACACCTGTTGATGCATCTAAGAAGAAAAATGAAGGAGTTGTATATTTCAATTTATATGGTGAAATGGAGCCGCTATCATCTAAACCGAAATCCAAAGTTGGTGATAAGGTTCGAATATCAAAGTATAAAAGGAAGGTATTTGACAAGGGCTATACTCCAAACTGGACAGAAGAAGTATTTACAGTCGATAAAATCCAATACACAAATCCAATCACATATAAATTGAAGGATCTTAATAGTGAAGAAATTAAAGGTTCATTTTATGAGCAGGAGTTGTTGAAAGCACAACAAGACATTTTCCGTATTGATAAAGTCATCAAAAGGGATTATGAAAAGAAACAAGCTCTGGTTTCATGGTCTGGTTATCCGAATGAATTTAATTCATGGATACCTTTAAAAGATGTTAAAAATATATAATGGGAAGAGGAAGACAAAAAAAGCATATGAGAAATACCGAAGCCGTGAATAACATTGAATAACCAAGTCCATCATAGTTTAAAATGAACCAAACACTGAGTCATTTTAAACGCACTATAAAAAACACTTAAAAATAAAACCTATAGTATACATAGTATACAATGAATAGCAAAAATGAACACATATGTGAAGGTGAAAATTGTTCGAGTCAAGCCGAATATAGTCTCAAATTAAATGGGAGAAAAACTATATACCTATGTAAAGAATGTACTGAGCATGATGAAGTTGATTATATTCACGAAGACTGGCTTACGTGTGACTCGGACTGTGATGATGAGTGTGGTGATGATAGAGGTGTATGTTCACAACAAGAAGAATATACAGGCAGTTGTGACTGTGGTTCATCTTATAATGATCATGGCGTGAGTTGTTATATTAGTTCGATAGACTTAGAGCTCTGTAGTTATTGTTACGATGAGAAAAAGGAATTACCAAAGAATGAGGATATGAAGATTAAATTTCTCAGTGGAAATGCCAAAGTTGGAGATATCAAAGTTGGAGATATCCTATTAAGATATCCTCATTTTATTGAATGTTTGTGTCGGGAAGATGAGATGTTAGCAATGGGGCGTTTTTATGATATTAACCATGAGTTTACTTTCTGGCGAATAAACGCAATAACGGATGATGGAATTGAATTAGATAAGTTGAAGGTTGACTATGAATATGTAATAAGTAAAAAGTTCCAGCTCAAAAATGGTGAACCATTATGGGTGAAAAAAGCTGAAGTAAGACTAAGTAAAGTTGAATATTCAATAACTATGATCAAAGACTACTACTTTGATTGTTTTCATGAATTATATGACCCAAATCGCTGCTATACAGCACCTCTGGCACCTGGTGATATGGTGTTGAAAAAAGTTAGTGGAATTCGAGACAAAGTTGAATATTCTGGAAGTATACCCAAAGATTACAACCCAAAGATCTCATTGACTATGGGTGATTCCGATTATGATCCAAATTACAACCCAAAGATCTCATTGACTATGGGTGATTCCGATTATGATCCAATGCGAATTCATATGGCAATTTAGAGGTTAGCGAAATAACAGACAAAGTTGATGTTTCTTTCAGAGTTCCGAATGTGAATTATATATATTCAATATATGTATAATAGGCTGGGATGCTCTGTATGTGGTTGGGTTAAACGCACTATAAAAAGACTTTAAGAAATATTATATATATTATATATATAATGGGAAGACCACCAAATATTCATACACCAATTAAGCATTTCAGTGAAGAAGAGAGGAAGCAAGCACTTACACAAAGCAAGACCAAGTACATGTTGAATAAAGAATGGCGATGCCCAGTATGTGGAAATAGGGATTACTCGTTAGCTGGGAAATGGAGCCATCTTAAGACGAGAAAGCATATGAGAAATGCTGAAGCCATGCATAACATGTAAACCTTGAGATCATTGGTTCAAATCCAACTGGGAACGTTTTTCATATTGTAGCTATTGATTGATGACCAATAGCTGCCGTAGTATAATGGGTTTAATGCGTCCGGCTTTTAACCGGGATAATGCGGGTTCGAGTCCTGTCGGCAGCCCACCTGCAGTGCAAGGATAACCAATTCCATCATTGTTTAAAATGAACCAAACATTGAGTCATTTTAAACGCACAATAAAAAGACTTAAGAAAATAAAAACTATAGTTATAATAAAGAATGGAAAAAATTATATCAACAAATAACATGGATAAGAGTACTCTCAAGAAACAAAGCAAATCTCAGCTAATCAACCTGTTGTTGCGGCAAAATGCGAAAATAAAACATACACATCAATATTGCAGAACAACAGCCTAAAACTGTGACGATGACAATCGAGGAAGCCAATCCCAACTCCTCGTAAGAGTGTAAAGCAGATGGCGCAGGAGTATGAAAACAACATAATCCTTCCACCATTAGAATTTAGGGATGATTACAAACCAGTCCCATCACCAAGGACCAAAAAACCAGTCCCAGCACCAAGGACTAAGATAGAGCAAGTTGATAAAGCTCTGAAAGGCTACACAAAGTCTTTTGAAATTAATATCAAAAATAACAAAGACCCGCTAGCGCAACTACAAAACACGAGAAAGGCCACTGCATATCATATTATAAGTATACTAACATCCATGAAAGGTCTAAAATTCATTGAAACGCTTAAGGTGTCATTCACAAAAATAACAGGTAGTGCCATAGTATATAAAACCGCCTATTTCAACAGTGCAGTTCATACAATTGTAAATAATCTGGAAGTTGCTGAATCACTACAATTATCAAAACAGCAAATCTTAAATAAGATAGCTCAATGGGTATCTGAAGGTTCTGGTTGGACTATTCAATCTGTTGACAACCATTATCTTAATATAGTAAAATACCAACCAATGAGAGGCTCCTCATATATTCAACTACCGCAAGAACTCCGAAACAGTGCGAAGGGATTGATTAATATGAAAAATGAGGATGATGAATGCTTTAGATGGTGTCACATCAGACACTTAAACCCACAAGCTAAATACCCTCAGCGAATTAAAAAATCTGATAAGGAATACATTAGTAAATTGGATTACTCTGAATTGAATATTCCGGTAACTATTAAGCAGTGCAACAAATTGAGAAAAAGAATAACATCAGAATAAATGTATTCGGTTATGAAGAAAAGCAGCCATACCCAATATATATATCGAAAGAAAAGTATGAAGATCATATGGAACTACTACTGGTAACGAAAGATGATAACCAGCATTATGTCCTCATAAAGGATTTTAATAAATTCATGTACAACCAAACAAAACACAAGGAAAGGAAGCACTTCTGTATGCACTGTCTACAATGTTTCAGTTCTGAAAGAGTATTAAACGATCATAAAGATAATTGCGTACAATTAAATGGAATACAAGCAGTAAAAATGCCTGATAAGGATAATAATATACTGAAATTCAACAACTTCCATAAACAACAACAAGTGCCATTTGTTATCTATGCTGATTTTGAGGCTATAACTGAAAAGATTCAAGGATGTCAACCTAATAATGACAAATCATATACAGAGGCATACCAGAAGCATACAGACTGTGGGTATGGTTATAAGATTGTCTGTTGCTATGATGATAAATATACAAACAGCACAAATATATAGAGGTGAAAAGGCTGTGTATAAATTCATGGAAAAGATGCTAGAAGAAGTTAAGTATTGCAAAAAAGTCATGAAAACATTTTTTAACAAACCATTGAAAATGACGAAAGATGATGCAGAGGAATTCAAAAAAGCAAAAAGATGTCACATCTGCGATAAAAAATATACTGAAAAAGACATTCGAGTCAGAGATCATTGCCATATTACAGGCAAATACAGAGGCTCAGCACATCAAGACTGTAATCTGAAACTTAGAGTAAACCCAGAAGAAATAAAAATCCCTGTTATATTCCATAATCTAAGAGGTTATGATAGTCATTTGTAATGCAAGAGATTGGAGCTATAGTTAAGAAGCATGCATACAAAAATAAGAAAGGAGAGGAAAAACATATGAATATCAATGCCATACCCAACAATATGGAAAATACATGGCTTTCATGGTTGGTAATCATCTTACCTTCATTGATAGTTTCCAATTTATGAGCTCTAGTTTGGAAAAACTAGTTAGTAATCTACCAAGAAAATCATTAAAATATACCTCTCAAAAGTTCAAAGGTAAAAAGCTTGATCTGATGGCTAGAAAAGGAGTATACCCTTACGACTATATGGACAGTTTCGATAAATTCAATGAAAAACTACCAACAAAAGAAGACTTCTTCAGTAACATGAATAATGAGCACATTACCGATGAAGATTATCAACATGTCCAGACTGTATGGGAACATTCATGCTTAAAACGATGGGTGAATACCATAACCTGTACCTGGAATCCGACATCCTCTTATTAGCTGATGTATTCGAAAACTTCAGGAGAACATGCTTAGAATACTATAAACTTGATCCATGCCATTATTTCACATCCCCGGTTGACGTGGGATGCCATGCTAAAAATGACCGACATTCAACTAGAGCTTATGACTGATATTGATATGTTCCAATTTATTGAAAGGGCATGCGTGGTGGAATCAGCTATATAGCCAACCGCTATGGAAAGCAAACAATAAATACATGAAAACATATGATGAGAAGGCGCCCTCAAAGTATATTATGTATCTATTCAACACACTACCCAATAATGTGAGATCGTGCCCTGACTTTAACACTTTCTGCAATGACACTAAAAAAATCATTTACACCAGGGCATTAGAGCGTCTTAAGTAATTTTTCCATATTCCCTTTTAATTGTATTACACATAATATATATATATTATATTTTATTTAAGTTATTAATCTTATTGTATATTAGGTAGTGGACAGTGAAGAGCCACTATGTGGATATATTGTTCAATAAACCATTATTATTATATTATTATTATTATTATCTTGACGCCAATAATCTGTATGGTTGGGCAATGAGGCAATACCTTCCAACAGGCGGATTCAGATGGATGACAAAAAGCCAGATTGATAAAACAGACTTAGCCAAGTATAAAGAAGACAGTAAGAAAGGTTTAATACTAGAAGTCGACCTAGAATACCCTAAAGGGTTGCATAATCTTCATAATGACTACCCATTAGGACCGGAAAAGGTAAAAGTAACTGAAGACATGCTATCAGATTATTGCAAAAAAATTGTGGAGAAATATAATATATCAACAGGTCTCATACATAAATTAATTCCAACTTTGAACAACAAAGAAAAGTACGTACTACATTATAGGAACCTCCAATTATACACTGATCTCGGTTTGAAAATAACTAAAGTCCATCGAGTACTAGAGTTCGATCAATCTCCTTGGCTTAGGCAATATATGATTTCAATACTGAAAAACGTAAGAATGCTAAAAATGCTTTTGAAAAAGACTTCTTCAAACTTATGAATAACAGTGTATTTGGAAAAACTATGGAAAACATCAGAAAGCGAGTAGATGTTAGATTGGTGACTGATGAGAAGAAACTATTGAAATACTGCAGTAAACCAACGTATGTTAGTAGTAAGATCTTCAACGAAAATCTAGTAGCTGTGCATAAGATCAAAGAAACACTTACTCTAAACAGGCCGGCATATGTGGGTATGTGCATCTTAGATTTAAGCAAGACGTTAATGTATGATTTCCATTATAACTACATTTAAAAAGAAATATGGAGACAATGCCAAGTTACTATTCACAGACACAGACAGCTTGACCTATGAAATCGAAGCTGAAGATGTATACCAAGACTTTTGGAATGATAAAATAAATTCGATAACAGCGACTACCCTGAAGGCTCCCCGTATTTCGATAAGACAAATAAAAAAGTAATCGGTAAATTCAAAGATGAAGCCGCAGGAGTCCCTATTTGTGAATTCGTTGGTCTACGATCAAAAATGTATAGCTATATGAAAGACAACCAAAAAGGAGGAAAGACTGCTAAAGGAATCAAAAAGAACGTTATTAAAAAGAACATTACACATGAAAACTATAAAGAAACACTCTTCGATAATAAACAGATGCATCATAAAATGAAAACAATCAGAAGTCAAAACCATCAATTAGGAAGTTATGAGATAAATAAAGTGTCGCTCAGGCTGTTTTGATGACAAAAGATATATACAAGAAGATGGAATAACAAGCTATGCATACGGACATCGTAATATCAAACATTAGTCATCTTCCTTAATTCAATTTATTCATGCATTTGTACCCAGTGGGTGGACACTGTGGATGTATCCAAAAATATAGTTAAAATATGATTTCCATTTTTTATTTCCGTTTTTGATCCTTGGTTTTGGTTCCAGACCTGGGTCCTAGGTTTTGTTCCAGACCTGGGTCCTAGGTTTTGGTTCCAGAACCTGGGTCCTAGGTTTTGGTTCCAGACCTGGGTCCAAGTTTTTTCGATTTCCATTTCCCATTTTTGATTCCCATATTTGATTCCCATATTTTATTCCCATATTTGATTCCATATTTGATTCCGTCTATTTGATTCCCATTTTTATTCCCATTTTTTGATTTCCCATTTTTGATTCTCATATTTGATTCCCATTTTTGATTCCCATTTTTGATTCCCATATTTGATTCCCATATTTGATTCCCATATTTGATTCCCATATTTTGATTCCCATATTTGATTCCCATATTTGATTCCCATATTTGATTCCCATATTTGATTCCCATATTTGATTCCCATATTTGATTCCCATATTTAATCCCAACAACGGAAAGTAGCATAATAGTTTGGGCGAATGAGATCATTTTTACAAAATGATCCCATACCCCCAACTACTATACTACTCTGTTGTCCTTCTCGAGATGCCGTTTGTTTGCAGTGATGGAGTACATTGCTGTCCTAATGGTTACACCTGCGATATCCCAAATGGAACATGTGTGAGGTGATTCAAGACACATGTCATCATGTTGGCATTCATTTTACCATTTTAATGCCATACCTTGACGAAAAGCATCCAGTTTAGTAAACAACATGTAATGAGAAATCATAGGCTTTAGCACGT